CAAAAGGCTTGAGTTGGGGAAGAGTGGACTACATATGTAACAAGCTGGGAGTATATGATATATACTCACCAGCTTGAGGGGGAGTGTTAGCGTAGGGGTATTTCTGTCTTTATACCTTGATTAATGTTGTTGATCTGTAAGGTTGTGTTGGAACAAGTGCTCTTAACTTAAGTAAGGGCACATAGGTCTTTTCAGTTATCTTTTAATAATAATATAAATACTTATTGGTCGACTGGGAGAAGTCAGGTTGACTCTTTTAGTTCGAACCAAAATTCTCTCTTCTCTCTCTCTCTATCACCTTTTCTTTTTCTATATAACTGAACTCAGTAAAGCCGAACTCTAAAGCAGAGCTGAATTCTATCAGAACCAAACGGGGCCTGAGTTTTAATGAATAAGAACTAGCCTTAAGGCTTTAAAAAAATTGAATGGATCTATACATGATAAGGTCAGAGCCCTAGGTGATTTTGGATCCAGTTCTTTCAACTGCCATTCCTTGGATATTGCTAAGCAGCTCAACTTAAGCCTGAGACCTCCCAAATGGACCCCACAAAAGTTCTGCCTCCAAAAGTTTTTCTAATGGTTTATTAGTCCATAATTTGAAATAGAATATTGAGATTTGTGGATCAAGAATCGTAAATTTCTATCATTTCAAAAGCCAGCTCATTCGTTGTACATGGGTCTCCTGATGTTTTGGGGGGGGGAGGGTAAATATGAGCCCATAATCATTGCCAATATTTACTTGTGGACCATTATATTAGAAGATTGCACAGGTGGCCAATCCAGAGGGTTTCCTACTTGGTAGATAGCTTGCTTCATTTGCCACATCAGCCCTCCACATGTTAAAAATCTGGCAGTAGGGAAGCTCCCTGCTTATATAACCCCCATTAGGGGAGCCTTAATTTAGCCTTTACATGTACCTAATTGTGAACGACAGCCATAGAAGAATGTATCACATGGGTCACGGACTCACGGAATCAAGCATCCGATTAATAATGCAGAGTTTATTTTGATTGGTTTAATTAAAGCATCAAAACAAATATCAAATGCATAAACAGCTGGCTACTTCTTGTCATATGTGAATCATCAGATATATTCACTGTGAAATAAATCTATAGAATCATTTGAAAACAAGGCTAATCAGGACAAACAGATACACCCAAAGACTCAAGGACCCCTTCTTGTGGTGGGCAATGGATAGAAGAAAAAGGCTCATACAGGGATATGCACCCCACAGAGAATCGGCCAAAGTTACAACTCACGAAACAGACAATGGGGACTAGGAAGGCATCCCTCTACAGGGACACAGCGACCCCTTTATGGGTGTATAAATAAACCAGATTCGCATCATTCAGTAGGGACTGGGGTGCCTCAAATTAGTAAGTACTTTTGGGCATGGCTCGTTTGGTCTTGGGTTGTGTTGCTTTCCTGCTTTTGACTAGCTTAGCTCACTCTGCCCGGTTTCTGAGCTTTCTGCCTTCGTATCAGCCGGGACTCATACCACCATGGCCTCCATTCAACGGTAGTGGAGGTGGCGGTGGAGGTGGTGGCGGTGGTGGTGGTGGGTCGGTCCCTGGTGGGTCATTTCCAGGTGGAAAGAGCTTTGGGTTCGGGAGTCCTGGTAAAGGCAAATTTGGGTTTGGGTTTGGGTTTGGGTTTGGTTATGGTTACAATGGGGGGAGTGGATTCGGTAGTGGATCAGGTCGTAGTGGGAAAAATGGTGGTGGAGGTGGCGGAGGTAGCAAGCCTGGTGGCGGTGGCTCTGGCTTTGGAGGTGGCAATGGCCATGGTCGTTGAGCTGGTGGAGAAAATAGTCTGTAATCTCTCTTTACAGTATATGAATTATGTAATATTCTGTGTGTGTGTGTGTCTAGTGGAGCATTTGCTTCCTTTGTAATATGAAATCTGTAACAAGGAATGTAATTCATGTTCTGAGTAAGTTCTTGCTACGTATCTTCATTGCAATTATTTCTTCTCTCTTTTGAGTTTCTAATGGCTTCATGGTTTGAATGTTTCTTCTTTAATTTCACCTGCAGAAAGCGAATTGAGTAAGAAATTCAATTTAAACGATCAAGAATAAGAATCCAAATCCATCCATGTTTCATGGGCTTCAGTTTCGGTTTCTTTTCATTTTTTGCAACAGAATTGCAACGCTGGGTTGGTTGCCACTCGCAACAGCCCACAATGCAACCCATTTTCTGCACAGGGTGCAACATTCGATATACACTCGCAGAACAAGGTGAAACTTACAATGAACATTCTGCAAACTGAATGCAACCCAGGGTCCATTTGTTTCAGAGGGAATAGGGGTCCAACCATTGAGTGGAATCGGAATTCAATTCCCATTGCTGGTGGAATGTCATTCTTCCATTTGAGGAAGAATCGTCATTCCCTCCCACTCCCTTGAGAATGATAATCTTATTCCATCTTATTCTAATTTTGATTTTGATTCTGTATGATCTAAACATGACCATTCCAATTTCAATTCCAAGAGATTTTGATTTCGATTCGACCACAAATCAAATAAATCTCAAAATCCCGATTCAAACACAAACCAAATAAACCTTAGAACCATATTTTGTGCAACTTGTAAATGGCATAAAGTACGACAAAGAAAATGTTCCTACCAGTAAGGTAAAAGGTAAAATCAAGAAGATAAAACTTAAAAGGGAAGTTAAGTACAAATAATTCAAGTGTTTGTGGGACCTGCAAGGAAAAAAAAAACTTTGTGAGATTTGTATTGATTAATCGACTGGTTTGCTCTACAAGGTACCAACCAGTTGGTTGGTAAGAACTTTTGCTGATTGTAATAGAGACTTGGGGGGGGGGGGGGATATTGATTTGCTCGGTATTTGTTTGGGAGAATTAATTTAACAAAATTATTTCCTCAAGTATCAGTGATTTTGAGGGTTTGGGAATCCCCTATTTCTCCATGAAAACATGATTTGTAGAAATAATGAATAATGCTGATGATATAATTTCTCAGGAAAAAAAATTGAAATCAGTACTGGCCGATTCCTCTATCAATTTTTTGAGGAATTGATCTTATCAAATGGGATTTTTCACATAATTCAAGAAAATAACTGATGTAACAAATTTACAAGTTGGAATCAGCAAATTGAGCAAATTGGTTCCTCCAACCAAACATCCCTAATCCCTGAATCACCCAGAAAATTCACTGAATCACCAATTCAACCATCCTATCTACAAAACTGTTGTGTTACAGGACATTCAATGGTATTTGTCCCATTATATAACAGAGGATGTAACCCCACCATCCAATACGTCCCACCATGTAGACTTTATGGTGTAAAATACCGATTTGAAAGTTGATTGCAACAATAATAATTTGCTGAATAAATTTTAAAGCTGGAGATTGCCTAGATTAGATGGTTAAAAACTTAAAATTCATAGGATCTTGCTGTTCTTTCCATGAAACCAGGGCAAGGCCCTGACCTGCCCTCGGGGTGATTCCCCAATTCTGCAAAATTGAAATGCCTTTAAGCTTGAATTTTCTTCTAAATTCCCAAAATCTTATCATCCCATTTGTAAAATACTCCTAAATTTTAATGTATTTTTAGGTGATTGTCTTAAGATAGAAAAAATTTTATAAATTTTCCATTCCCAATAGGAATAGGAGGGGTACCCACCATCCCAACCTACCCTACCACCAATAATGGAGTTAGGGGTGCCCCTTCCCCGAACCTGCTAGACGTTGCCATTCCTATTTGGTAAATCTATCCCAATTCCCAAGTGTGTTCCTCTAAATATAAAATTCTTAGTTTCAGAGGCCCAGCTTAAAGGTGGTGGGCTTATGTGTCCCCAGATCCAAGACAATCCTTTGAATGTACTATAGAGCTAGGTAGGTAGAACCTTAACTTTGAGGGGTTAAGACAATACTATGATCTCGTAGCAAGCAAAACGGTCTAGGGTGGACCCCAGATAAAGAAAGGTCAGATTAATCAAACCAATTATATAGAGTCTATGTCTGTATTACGTGTTTTAGGTTTTGATATTATGTCATAAATATAATTGAATCAGGATTGGTTTTGGGTGTTGATCAAGATCCAATTCGACTATATATATTAAATCTAATCATGCTCATATATATGTTTATTAGTGTATTACAAACATACCCCCGGTTTATATTGCTTAGACCAGCCAGGGGCCTTAGCAAACTAGCATGCGTCTTCATGATATTCTTGTGATATTATTATATTGTCATGTCCTTATATGTCAATTTACAAAAATGGATAATTTCAAATTATTCAGTTAAAAGTTTAAAACTATAAATTATTTCTGTCTTGTCAGGTCAGTCCCATGTGGTCAAAATTTATAATTAAGTTGGTTTCATGGAGACATGTTCTGGCCCAAGTAGCTGGTTGAGCTCCGGCCCAGCCCAATAATAATATTATAAAAAATAAAAAATATATTTTAGTAATAGATATTGGATAATAACTTGCATTTTGTGTATTATTTTTTTGTGTTTGTTTGAATTTGTATATAATTGCATCTTGGGCAGCAATGTTTTTTATCTGCAAAGTAAGATATTGCAAAGCATACACCGGATTTCAGACTTAATAAGGCCAGACTCATGCTCTTGGTACTTGATAGTTGAGGCAAGGGGTGGCCACGAGCCGAGTCTTTCATGAATTATTTGAATTTGTTTCATGAAAAGTTTAATTTGGCTCAGTTTAAATCGAGTTTTGAGTTAAATTGAAGTCTGATATATAGGCTTGTTTGCTAATCGAGTCGAGTTTGATCCTAGTGAAGCTCGGTTCGTGAGGCTCGCGAGCTTAGTATTAAATAAATAATTTTTACTATATATACATATACATATATATAATAAATAATTTTATTATATATTATAATATTTTTATTTTTATGTATAATAGTAAATAATTTTTATAATTCTTAATTTTTTGTCTAAAAAATAAAAAAAGTAATTTTATACATACACTTTTTATTTTAAAAAATTGGCTTATAGTCAAGCTCGAGTCAAGCCGAGCCGAGCTCGAACTCGAATAGCTAAGTATTCTGCTCGGCTCAGGCTTGGGCATGGACATTTTCTATTAATAAGTCATAAAGCCTAATACAAATTCAGTGTGTGAATAGGTATAGTTTTGTGCATGGATTTGGACCATTTGGTTTTATAGACTTATTGGTTCATGGTCCGTCTGACCTAGATCAAACCCAACCCATTGACCACACTAACAATAAACCAAAACATGCTTGAAATGTCTCTAACGGGTGGAATAGATAAATGATGATTTTTGGCCCCAAAACTGTCCAAGCAATCAGTTCCATTTCATCTATGACTTGGTCTTTTTGCTAAAAATGGTTGATTTAGTCATTGACCCATTGATCTGATTAGTCGAATTGTCAATCCATTTGACTTGGACAACGGCTTTTGCCCATTTCTTTATTTTAATTACTTAAAAATAAAGGAATATGTTGTTCATTCAAACTAGATGGTCATATAGTTGACTCGAAAACTAGTGGCTAAAGCAGTTTCGGTTCCATGTCAGTTTTTAAAACATTAGCTAAAATTGCTGATTATTTGGAGATAACATGAACACCACATAGGAGACCAAATCTGCTCCTCACATAAGGCGCCTCACACCGATCTCACACACACTTCCTACCGTGCATTGGGAACATCTCCCATACTTATAAGTTATTATTCACGGGAGATGTTCCCAATGCATGGTGGATGTGCCTGTGAGGCGCCCAAGTGTGAGGAGGAGATCCCATTCCACCCCATAGGCGCCTCACATGCCAATTCACATATGCCCCCTACAAGTGCCCTACAGGCGCCTCACGTAAGGTGCAGATGTGAAATCCTCACATGCACATCTCAGTGTGCACTAGGAATATCTCCCATGATAGTYATTGGGAGATATTCCCAATGGCCAATGTACAATCAGGACATGATGTGGGCATTGTGGAGCATGCACCTTGTGGGATGCGTGTGAACTCGATTTATTTTATGAAAAAAGGGAGAATGACCAATCAGCCCAGATCAGAATTTTATAGCCCCATACTGGGGGAATGCATCCTGACCGTGAATTGATGCCAAATTCACGGGCAGGATGTGATTTATAGGGAGAGAGGGCTAGTAGTAGGGGGGATTGGAATTCAGAATTCTGCATCGGATGTATTAGTACTTCTCCGTAAAAAAAATACAGAAATTGTTTGGTCCCATTTTGAAAATTAGACCGGGTGTGTAAAGCCATGTAGATAATCATCGGGTTTGGATATGGAGCAAATTAAGCCATGTCTAGATCATCGGGATGGATCGAATGTTTCCGACGATGATGGATTCTCCTTTGGCTTGGAGCTCCTGTGGAGTTACATGCCCGATCCGTATATGGCCAAAACAGTTCACATATGCATTTGGGATGCGTCATGCGTGTTCCAAACCCGACCCAAATTTTGTTTGGATCATTATTGTTATATTAGGATTGGACTTATTTTTGAATGCGAATCTTTACGGATGCAAGCTCAATAAATACGGGGACAGAAATGGGGTCTGAGATCAGGTTGAACCACTCCATTCCATGACTTGGGTTGGGTTGGAAATTCGTTATATTTTCAATGGGCCTAATCCCTAACCCAAGCCCCTGTAGTTGAACTCCTTTAAATCGGGCCTGGTCCATTGGAAATGTGAATTTTTGGGTCATTTCGATTATTCAATACATGTAATGGCTTCAACCAGTATCCGATTGTTCAAATTCGAACTTGACTCGACTATATTTGGATTGAATAAGTATCCAACTGTCTGATCTGATAATATC